GAAGGATAGGCATTGTTTGATTCCCTGTTTCATCAAGATGGTTAAAGCACATAATTAGCTTAGCTTTTCCCTAATTCCTTTTGTTTTCCCGTTCAGTCGTCATCACCTAACTAGCCCATCCTTTCTCTACAGAACAAACCAAAACAAAGATTCACCTAATTGCTCTTTCTTTCTTTCTTTCTTTCTTTCTTTCTTTCTTTCTTTCTTTCTTTCTTTCTTTTCTTTTTTTTTTTTTTTTTTTTTTTTTTTTGGAAGGCAATAACTAGAGCAAGGTCAAGACAGGCTTTGCCTTCTGGTAGGGGAAAGTGGCAGTCTGTGGTTTGTTTTAGCACAGTCTCTTCCATCCACATTTCTCTCTCCCACTCATTAGTTTGTTGTGGTTGGAGCTAGTAATAGCTGTTTTGTGCTAAGCAGAGGCAGGGGAGGAGGGGAGTGTGTAGACAGCAGCTCCCCTGTTTTCTTGAAAAGATGATTTTCCCTCCTCTCCCTTCTTCCCTTGATTCTCATCAGTTTGTCTCGGCCTCCTCCCTTCTGTCAGCTGTTAAAAAGTTAAGCAACAGGGAGTGATTCCCCCCCTCTTCCATCCTGAGTCTTATTTTGCTAAGAGAAAGCAAGAGTTTAATTTGTCAGAAAGGATCTCTCTTGCAGCTGTTGAATTTTCCTTGTCTGAAGAATGAAGCCCCTCTTTGTGAAGAGATGGGAGGCTCTCGGTAAGGGAAAGAACAGAGAGCACAGTAGGAAGCCCTGCTGTTTTTCAGAGGGGAAATCTCCTCCAGGGTAGATCTCTAAAGCCACCAAAGATGGAGAGAATTGCCCCTGGTGCTTGCACAACCTCAAAGATATATAAATAGACCTACCGTATACTGTACTCGTAGGTGGCATTTCTTTTCAATCCGCACATCACGCAAGGCACCGCCCTTTTGTCCACTGCTGAGCTCCGTTGATGTGTTAGAGACTGCCCCAGAGCTCAAGTGTTCCATCAGTTTTTCCCATTCGCAATTCCCTGAAGAACAGCAAAAAGAATGTCCTTTATATAACACAGTTGCCTGCCCAGATGAGCTCTGTAAAATCTGCCAATATTTTTTTTTCTGTGCTATACATGCTGCTAAGTGAGATTGAAAATCTTATTGGCCCGATCCTTTAATTCAAGAATAGATTTGCCATATCCCAAATAATATACGTAACTGTACAGAACTGGCCATCCAGTCAGGAGAATGGGGCAAGTGTATACAGGCAGAGGTTGTACATGTAAACTGCACACAAGGTACCTTTAGGGAAGGTAACTATGCTAACCTTTCAACATTATTGTAGATGTAACCTGGTTGGGTTTTGAATGGTGCAGTTGCTTGGCTTCGGTTACTTGGACTGAATAATACTGTAAGCGTGTGTGGCACAAGAGGGGTTACTACAGGGCACAACTGAGCCTTGTAGGTAGAGCCTTGGAGAGAACAGAAAGATTTGCACCCCTCTCATCCAGAGCCTACCCTATGGTGTTGTTAATCCTTCATGCTTCAGAGCAGCAAATTCCATCATCAAACAGGGAAACTCAAGAAGAGAAGCTTAAGTTTCCTTCCAAATTCCATTTTAGGAAAATTTTGCAGGCAGGCATCCCACCATACAGCAAGTGGCCCCAGTTTCATAAGCATTCATTCAGCAGCATCCATGCCAAGCACATAATGTAACAGGCACTCTTTTTCTCTTATACCACCAATGCTGGAATGGAATGAAATTCAAACATTTGCTGGTAAAGCTCACTTCTTATTAATACACCCTTCTGTTCTATGAGAACAATCGGGCTGATTCACTCAACATTTTGTCTGTAACCTTTCAGAATTTAGCTACTTTTAATCCCCTGACTCTTTCTTGGAAAGTACCTATAGGGAAGTAACATTTTATTATTCCAAGAACAATCATTTTCTTTCCAAGAGTTGGTTTTTAAAATATATCTTGTTACAGTTTTAGAAGCAAAAAAAGTGATAAAATTGATTGATTGTGAGGGGTATGGGACCGTAATCTCAGTTAAATCATAAATAGCATGATAGCATTATTTTGCAGCATTGTTGTGTTATAAGAAAATACTTGTCTCCGGATTGCGTATTAATATTTGTAGAGATGTGTCTGAGAAATCTATTCTCACTTTCCCTCTTCTGCTCTCCCTACCTGAGTGATCCATCTCTGTTCACCTACTACTGCTAGCCATTATTGGTAGCCCATTCTTAGCTTCATTTTTTTTTAAATGCTTCATGTTTAGATACCAGCAATGTGTCTTGTAATGGAAATATGGCTGCCAAAACTGTGTTCCTCTGAAGAATAGAAGCAGTGAAAAGGGTACAAGGTACTACTGGTGATGGAAAGGAAAGGGCAGGTACATTTTATGTGCATAAAGCACTTTGCAATTCTTTGTTCATTTATCCTTTCAGTAAGCCAGAAAAATAGATTCTGCAGAGATTGTGACTTGCCCAAGCCCACCCAGTGAGCTTTGTGGTTGGAAAGAGATTACAATCTAGGTTTCTCACATTAAAATTCAGTATTGTGTCTACATAACCACATTGCTCTCTTCTTGCCTCTTCAGATGAAACTTGCTCAAATTCAAAGCTGCATGTCTATTTTAAGGACAGTTAAATCTTGGTGATTTGACAGTCCTAGAAAAATTATGTTTCTACTCATCAGCAGTTAAGCACTGAATAGATGAACTGTTAGATGCTTAGGTATCAACATTGGTCAGCTGTTTTTTTTTTTTAACTATCAGTTGTAATTTGTTACTCAATGTTTAATAGTCCATTAACAACTTTAAGAAGCTTATTGTATATTGTAGCCATTAGATTTGTTTACATATTAGAAGGTTTCAAACCCAAGAAATAAATTTTATTTTATTAAGCCTGCATATTCAACAGCCAAATTAGAAGATATAAGGCATAAAGTAAGTGGATGATTTCTTTCCTTTTGACAAAGGCATATGTGTACATTCTGTTTTCAGATATCCTAGCCTTTTCATCCGTTAAGCAGTACCACCAATATTTTTCTTACTTTCTGAATGTACCCATATTACCTTCCACCTTTTAAGAATACAGATACTCTACTCCAGACATGTCAAACACAAGGCCCGGGGGCCGGATGCGGCCCACAACATGGTTTCATGCAGCCTGCGAAGCCATCCAGGAAACAGTGAGAGAACGGCCCCCGCTGCCTTGGCCCTGGCCGAGGCCAGCTGGGAGCCAATGTACAATTTTATGGTGGCCATCTATGCTGAAACGTATTCAGTCTTAGCTCCACAGGGCCATTTGGAAACAGTGAGGAACCAGTCCCTGCCGTGTTGGCCCCACCCCCTGGGCGCACGCTGGGGAGGTGTCACCCTTTGTGAGGAATGAAGAAATGTACCATCGCCTGAAAGTGGCCAGCAAATGGCCCTTGAGTACTTCACATATCTGCCTTCATGGGCTCCAGGGGAGGGGTTTCAGCAGGCAGCAGGATGCTCTCCTCACAGCGCTGAGAGGCTAAGCCAGGCGGTGCAAATCCAAAAAGAAGTGTGCTACCACTCAGCCCCCAGCCTGCCCAATTTCACAATGAAGAGCTGGCCATGCCCACCCAGTAGACCTCACCCACTCCAGCCATGCCCACCCAGTAGGCTGCGCCCACCCTGGCCACACCTACCTGCCCCCCCAAGGACAACCACAATGCTGATGCGGCCCTCAGTGAAATTGAGTTTGACACCCCTACTCTACTCTAAGTTACAGTGATGAAAGTTGTACATGCTTTCCTCAGTCCAAAAATGCAAATCTGTATTGAATAAAAAGAAGAGATGTTCAGCCTAGAATGTCAAAGACATCAGATTTTAGAAATCGCAGACTGACATGCAATCTACTCAATTCTGTCTTAACCAAAAAAAAAAAAACCCCTCACAAACCAGTAATTATCTGGACAAAATGTACACTAAAAAGCATATTACAGAAGGTTGCATAAAAAAGGCATATAGAAGGGGCAATTGTGGTCAAAACAGTTTTTATTTTTCAAATAAAGGGATATGTAAAGCTGTGTTTTAGGACAGGAATGGAAAACCTTCCATCCTAATCTAGCTACTTGAAACCCTCCCCCCCTTTCAAAGTCCCCCCCTCCTTTTGATCACAAGTAGTCAATCAAACTCTATCTGAGCTGCATTCTTTGAAGAAAGAAGACTGATGCAGCCGAAGTAGAGTTGAGCTCTCTCAAGAGAGGCAGACATTTGATATCTGCAACTGTTGTAGCTTTGGGAATGATTGATGTGGCTTGCTTGATCACAGAAAATTCTTCTGTTCTGTGCTGGTGTTTGGAAAGTGTTTATAATTCATATATGGACACTCATGAGTGTGGTATACTTTTTAAGAATGTGAGGAGCTCCAGATTCCTCTGTTTCATTCAAGTCTACTCTGCATAATTTTGTGATTCTCCACCTCTGAGTGAATTTTAAAAGGAATCTCTTGAAGAATGGGACATTTTGTTGTCTATGTTTATGACTTAGCTCGAAATACACTTTTGGAGAACGGAGCAAGGTTAGTTTAAGCCTCAATATCTCAGTATCTTTTGCCCTGTGGGAAAAAAATGTGCAGTGTATATTAGGCAACATTAGTCTTAGCACCTTTCTTACCACTGTACAATACACCACTGCCATTTTTTTCCTTTTGTTGTGGGGGTGTCTTTGGTGTGTACTTCAGCTCTTTGGAATTCAATAGAGTTAGCTATTTTAAGCTTGCTTCTTTTTGACAAGTTTTCTCTCCACCCACCTCTATGTCTTTTTGCCTCCCAGAGGCATTGTTAAGTTGAGGAACACTTTGAAGATGAAAATCATGAGCTGGATGCCAAGCATTAGTTATTACATTAGGCCTCAAGGGCTAAAAACATTGACATTAAAGAGATGTGTTTAATCATAAGGATTTCTTTTCCAGTAGGGGACGATCCTCGTAACTTTCCCCCATCCTTATACAAACATCAATGTTATATAAATCTGTTTCATTTTATTCGTATAGGAATTTAGCCATTGGGATTGGCATTCAGAATTTTCCAGAAGGGTTGGCCGTCAGTCTTCCCTTGCATGGGGCAGGATTTTCAACATGGAGAGCATTCTGGTAAGCAAGTCAAATTGTTACTCAGGTGTATCTTTGTGTTTTCTTCACTGCTGTCTGCTTTAATAGTAGAACGAAAATGCATAAAAATGGCTTTGAGTCATATTATCCCTTTAATGCAAGGAAAATGCTGCTATTTTTGTTGGTAGCGCTCAAACTTTTTATTCAGTGAGACAGTTTTGTGGTCTCTAAAGAGCCTGTTGTGCAAATGGAGTTTTCCTGCCAAATATTTTCCAATTTCATCCAAGGCACTGATCCAAGTTATTTACTAAAATGAAGATAAAGGGCAGCTGCAGGTGATGATCTGAACTTCAAAAAAACCCTGATAGCAGTACAAACTCCTCTTTTCTATGATGCTCCATGCAAAAGGAATTACTTTTCTAGTTCATTTCTCCATTGCTTAAACTTGGTAAACAGTACAAATGAGGGAGAATTTGCCATTTTTTTTTATAGCTTTTGCTGCCCACAAATGAAATAAACTGTTGGGTCACACCGGATTTCTCTGCCTTTTATTTACAGCGTTGAAGAAGAGTGAGGCTCTGCTTGCTTATTAGGGCATTTCTTGCTGTCTTGTAGGGTGAAAGCATGTTTTATCATGTCTTCATGGATAAGAATAATATGAGCAATAGGAGAAAGTTTTCTTTAGATATGCCATCAATTTTGGGCTTTATTTTTACTGTCAACTGATCCAGACCTGATCAACTCAGGAAATATTTGTGGTAAAGTCAGAGAATTGGGCACCTTCCAAATGTTTTGGATTTCATCTATTAGCACCAATCAGCTTGGTCAGCACCAAGGAATTGTGAGAGTTATAGTTCAAAATACTCAAAAAATACTCAGTTTTCAACACTGATCATAATGCCCAAATTCTAACGCTTCAATAAGTCTCTGATGAAAATACATCCGAAAGGGGCTTCCTTCAGAACCCCTCGATGCTTTCCTACATTTTATATAGATCCTGTAATGCTGCTTTATTTTTCCCAGGTTGGTCTGTCATCATATTAATTTCCTAATTTTTGCCCCTTTCCCAGTTTTATCTAACAGAATTGCATTTGAAATTTTGATTTTTTTATTCATAAATAAACTTGAATTGTAATAACTGGAACAATCATACATTCTCCAAAGCCCTCAAGTTGCTCTCTCATATACCCGCTGACGTACCTGCATGCTATACTAGTCAGAAACCTTCTGGTGAAGAGAAGGGGCTCAATATCACCAATGTAATGCCGTCTAGATGTGTTAGGCCAATTGCATAAGAATATGCAGAGAAAGTGCGTATAGTTAAGGACATGGTGATCCCAGTTGCAATGTATGGATGTGAAAGTTGGACCATAAGAAAGGCTGAGCGACAAAGAATTGAGGCCTTTGAACTATGGTGCTGGAGAAGACGCCTGCAAGTCCCATGGACTGCAAGGCATTCAAACCGGTCAGTCCTAGAAGAGATCAACCCCGACTGCTCTTTAGAAGGCCAGATCCTAAAGTTGAAACTCAGATACTTTGGCCACCTAATGAGAAGGAAGGACTCACTGGAGAAGGGCCTAATGCTGGGAAAGATTGAGGGCAATAGAAGAATGGGACGACGAAGAATGAGATGGCTGGATGGAGTCACTGAAGCAGTAGTGTGAACTTAAATGGATCCAGAAGATGGTAGAGGACAGGAAGACCTGGAGGAATGTTGTCCATGGGGTTGCGATGGGTCGGACACAACTTCGCAATTAACAACAACAACAATGCAGAGAAGGTGAAGGTCCTCACTGGCATTTTTAGATTTCCTAAGTGATGTGGAATCTTTAACCTCCTGAAAGTTTTGTAGAGAACAAAGTGGACCAAGTAAATAAGGAATATTACACCCTGAAGCAGGAGACAGGGGGAGAGAGAGAGGGAGGGAGGGAGGGAGGGAGGTAGAGAGAGAGAGAGAGAGAGAGAGAGAGAGAGAGAGAGAGAGAGAGAGAGAGAGAGAGAGAGAGAGAGAGAGAGAGAGAGAGAGAGAGAGAGAGAGCTGCCTGATATTCTCATCTTTCCCCCATAGCTTTTCATCACCTCTCAGTCTAAAGGAGGGATGATATCCTAGATGTTTGCTCAAGAATGACTTGGAGAAGCTTCTGTTTGTTTTTAAAGGCTGATAAACATCCCTGACCCCAGAGAAGAACTTGGCAGAGAGAAGGGAAAAGAGCTGGGCTTATATTGACTCTGAGTTGTCCAAAGGGTGGCAGTTGAGGAGGGAAACAATCCAATGCATGTAGAAGGAAAAGGATCCTCTGTCTCTTGAATGACATTTTGCTCCACTTGCTTTACAGGTATGGGCAGTTAAGTGGCATGGTGGAGCCCCTAGCTGGCATCTTTGGTGCTTTTGCCATGGGGCTAGCAGAGCCTCTCCTCCCATTTGCTTTGGCTTTTGCTGCTGGAGCAATGGTGTATGTGGTGATGGATGATATCATCCCAGAAGCACAGATCAGGTGAGGACCTGGTTTATTTGCATCTGATCAATTTTAAAATCCTAGAGGTCTAATAATCTAATCCAACTCAACTGAATGAAATTTTTTCTTAGTCTAGTTCTAGTAAATAATCATTATATATTTTTAATTTAATAATAATTAGTAATAACCAGTAATTAGTAATAATCTACTTAGTAATTAGTAATAATCTACTTAATAATTAGTAATAGGTACTACTACCAATTAGTAATTGATAATATACTTGATAATTACTAAATAATTAGTAACACTATTTCTAAATAGTAATTAGCAATAATCTACTTAAATTATTACCTTTTTGCTGATCCTGTATAGTTGACCTTCTACACTTATATCCAGAATACATTACTGAAGCAGCTAGGAGCAGCAGTTAACTGAAAAATCACAACTTTCATTAGTTTGAGGATCAACTTCTTCAACACCTGATTGAACCCAACTAAAAAAATCAGAAATTATAGTCCATCTTCAGTAGACTACTTTATTTTGGAAGGATACACAAGTGTTTGTTTTCTGCAGTGGTAAAAGGAAACAACCAGAGCCTTTGTGACCAGTGTATCAGAATCAGATGGGTCAGAAATGGGTCAAATGGTAACAATTTCATTACCAGCTGTCAAAGCCAAACACTTATATAACGTCTACAGTACTGCAACTTCCACATCTCTCCAACATTGTAGAAACCTTCTATATTTAAAAGGACTGTTTTGTCTTCAATTCTTACTTGATCTTACTCAATAAAGAAAAGTGGTTGCTTATGTATAACTGCAGCTCTCTAAGTGGCCATCTTGACTTCAAAGAATCCACCTAACCTCCTCATTGAGGTCTGAGGATATCTGATAATTTTCTGACATGAGTGCTACATGTCAGGTAAAACTCCTACTAGAAAATCATAGGCTTTGGAGTATATCAACAGTAGACTATGCAAGTGTGGAACCCAATTGTGTAATTTCACAGATAACTGTGAACCCAGTCATTTCACAGGTAGCGATGTGCATGTTCAGTTTTATATTTGTTCTGGTATAATGGCTTAATAGTAACACAAATTGATTCTGAATATTATGGTATCAGTACTCCAATATCAACGTATACTGTACTGCAGGGGTGTCAAACTGCCAGCCCACGGGCCGGATATGTCATCCGGAAGCTGCGCTCACCCCATTGCCAGCAATGGCAAAACTGTCCCAATATGTCTCGCAACGTCACATGATGTCTCGAGTTTGACATGTCTGCTGTACATGTCAAACTCGAGAATCACTTCATGGTAGCAAGGAAAATGTTTGTGTGCTTAGAATGAAGTATCCAAGCAGGAAATAGTATTTTGTTACTTTGGCTAAGCCCCAAAATTAATATAAGGCTGTATGGTAGATATACTGTGGTGAAACATATAAAACACACAGATGTCCTGAAAACTTTGAGAGCTAAATATTTAAGAATCAATTTATTCCTTGCAATATGAACTGCTTACACAGAAGGAAAGGTAGAGAAGCTTTTAGACGTAAGTTGAGCACTTTAGGAAATCTTTCAGTTTCAAGAGGGAGATTTTTTTTAAAGTCCTATAAATTCTAAAAGTGTCGTTCTTAGCAAACAAAAAATGTTATTGCTTTTTCTTTTTCTTTTTAGTGGCAATGGGAAGCTGGCTTCCTGGACCGCCATCTTAGGATTTGTGGTTATGATGTCCCTGGATGTAGGACTTGGATAATAAGAAATAATGCCTTTTTTCAAATTGAAAATGCATCAAAATGCATCAAAACAGGAGAAATTGCACAGCAGAAATTGCAGCTGGACTATTATATTTTACATTATTGTGTGGAATTGAACTGGTATTGATTTAATTATATTGATTTTTTAAACTTGTCATAATATATATGGAGATGATCTTGGGAAGCAGGTTCTTTTTGTGCATTTGTTCTTTTGCCTCTAATTAGTTCTGTTTCTTCAAGGCTGTTGGTTATGAAACATAATCATGAGTTTTAAGAGGTTTTTTTTTATTCTTCTCATTGTTGAGGCAGGTTTCCATAAATGTAACTGTCCAGTATGGTGTATAATTGATGGTCTTTGCTGTATGTATTGTGTTGTATGGAACAAAGTGGGACAGCCTCAGAAACCTTCAAGGCTTATAGTTTTCTATTGACACACAATGAGCTACAACACAGGTGTGTTGAGTCTTTTCTTCAGGAATTTGGAAATATTTACTTTTATAAGTTGCCGAAATAAATTGTTTTTTTAAATAATCAAGAGCATAGATTAGATTTTAGGAGATTTACTTGGACAGCAAGGCTGAATTGTTAATGTGCCCTTTACACATCCTGCACTAAACAGTTCTCAGCAGTAAATCTCTGCAGGTGGATCAGAATTTCTTGACAATGTATAGTTTGTTCTGCATTGTCACTGCAAGTAAAAAAAGACAGTAGTGTTTTGTTTCATTGTTTAAACCAATAATAATAAACCTGTTCCAAACTTTTTTCTACCTTTGGGGATCAATGGTAAATGGTCTTGTGTTTAAAAAAAATGTTTTGAGGAATTGCACTGGATATAAAGATGGCATGACTCAACAAAGGTTAATATAAACAAATCATTTTTTCTAACTATCTGACAAATCTGTCATAAATGTGTGCCAAGGCCCTTGTATAAGAAGATAATATCCACGAGGCTGTACAGTCTGAAGGACTAGACAATTTTACAGATCTAGCAAGAGAACTTAGTATATGTATGGGATGTACCTTTGACTCAGGACTGTTTGCTTTACATCTCCAGTATTTATTCTTCCAAATGAAGCCTTAAGAATTGTGCTTGAGATCTCTCTTCCCAGAGGTTACCAGTGGGGTTCATGCAAATGGATAAATACTGCCAATAGTAGCCCCATTCCTAGCCTATACCATAGTGGTAATTAGTTAGGCTTTTCTGATAATTCTTAGTGTCCCAGGAGAGATGGAATATTAGATGATTGTTTCCAGACCTAAATGAATATTCTAGAGTAAAGCTTTCTAAGAGCCATGCAACTTCCATTAACTAACAAGTATTCTTGAACAAAATTAAATTATATAGAATTGTTTCTTCATTTTGACAAAGGGGTTTGTTATTATGCACAAGGACCAGTACAGAATGATGTTTGTAATTGATTTTTTCTTTAAAAAAAAATCTGAATAAAAAGGGATCAATAATGTGTGTGGGTGTAATGGGCCAATTCTTTATTCTTCTACTTCCATCCCACTTACTTTTTTCTGACTTGCCAGACTCTTCAGCAACCTTTTAGTATATACTACTATTCAGACTCAAATTAATTCGAGTTTATCAGACCTTTGATCTCTCTGCATGCTGCATTTGGTAGATATTTTTATTATAAAAATATAAGCCAGTATCCTTTTAATCAACGTAGTCAAGCTGATTCTACCCATTCATATTGTTTACTGGGATTGGTAACACAATTGCTTGAAATATCAACCAGTCTGCTTTCCAATCTATAAAGGATGCATTGAAGAGTGAGCCATTCTTATTAGAAAGTCTGCATTTCTGGCACCAGAAAACATCTGACCTTTCCTTTCATGATAGAGCCATGACAGATGTTACCTACTACAGTATATTTCTTGCTCTACCTCAAGCTGCAAACTGAAAGCCTGTGAAAAGAATTTTCTATCAGTTGCACCCTTTGAAATGCCTATCATGTCTGTAACATCTGGTAATCTCAATTTGTCCTTTCATAACAAGTTAAAAGCAATCTACCATTAGGAGTGTTGGTCTTAGGGAAGGTTAAGGCTCTAGGGATCTTGAAATCATTAGGGCTATTTGTCCTGTCGTGGTTGCTTTGCAGAACTTCATTAATACAGAAGGCTTTCTGGGACCACGTGTTTTGATTTCTTTTGATAAGTTAAAGAGAAATGCTTAGGGGTTTCTAAATAAAGCAACTCCTGGAGGTCATCCAGCGATGCAGTGATATCTGGAAGATACTGGAAGAGTTCTGGCTGATTGTTTTTCTTCAATTTCTTCTTGGGATTTTGTAGGAATTAAAGGTGGAATTGAGAAAGGAAGTTTGGGGGAACCACTTTGCTTCTATTCACAACATCAAAATCTGACCATTTTGCTGTGGAATTTTGAGATTGTGATTTTAGAGGTACAAATTGCCCAGTAATATTACAGAGTAATAATTAATGAAATGTTCTATCATAGACTTTCAGTTCATCTCAGTTAATAGTATGTTTGAATGGGGTGACGTGTTGTCCGAGCCCCAGCCCTTAAAACCGGAGATAAAATCAGGAGAAATCCCCGAGGTTGCTTGCTTGCTACCTTATGTTTTACTACCAGAAGGTCTGGATGTGCCCAGCTACAACTTCAGTCACTTCACAGAGATGACAAGAACGAGATTTGCTCTAGAAGCAACATGGGGAATAACTTCTAGCCCTGCCTCTGTAGACCAACATTCCATCCTGCTTCTTGGTTAAACAAACCTGGCCAGAAATGAGCAAAAGAAGAGGGTTGCAGCCAGCCTGTTGAAGTGCCTTCCACGCTGTTTCCTGTCCTCTTTGCTCTCTTTTTGCTGCTGAGTCAGTGAGGAAGTCTGTCTGCTTCTACCTGTATGGCTCTCCCTGGGCTGAGGTGGAGCTTCTTCCTCAAGGGACCTCATGCGGCTACTTGGTGTTTACTCATAAGGTGGGGGGGGGTTGGTGGAGGAAAGGTGCAGCGCAGTGTGGTTGTGGTTTCTAGGGAGGAGGCAGGAACAAGAATAGCCAAGGAGAGCTTTGCACGCAACTAAACAATAATCTTATTATTATAACTGATGCCGTAAAACAGCACAAAACTGACAAGGGCTCTCTTCATGCTGGAGCTGGAAGAAATGGTTGTACCTGAGTCACTGCTCATAAAGGCAGCCTGATTTCACCTGCTAACCCAATCTGTTCCTGGGGGTGGAACCCAAAGACAAAATGCTTTCTGTTCATAGTTGTTGGGGGTTTTAAGTTGCTCTTTGTTAGGTGCTTGGCACCAGAGTAGCAATTAAAAGTGAGACACGCAGAGGCGCCTGTCTCCCAAGTCAAGGGCAAAGGTTCTCTTGATTGCAGCATTTTAGGACTGTCTCCTGTATGTGATTGTAATTAATAATAGCGGATTTTGCCCAGGCAATATTAAAAGTGGCGTCAAGGAACAGGAAAAGGACAGTGCTTCATTTAGAGTAGAGGTACAAACCCTTGGTGGGCAACACTTAAAATGGGAGGGGGGCCCTCAGTGTCACCAAGTAAGGGAAATTGGGGAGAAGGAGGGAGGGATTTTTCTTTGTTTCTTCAATTACAGTACGCCATTTTTAAGGCTTGCCCCTGAAATAATGAGAACTTTAAGTAATAATGATTAGAAGGAACTTGGCCACAAAAACAGAATTTGGGTTGCATTTTGCCCTGGAGCTACCAGCTAATCACCCCTGTAAATGAATGGAAGGATTTTACAACTTGTATATATACTTTCAGAAAGGCCCAGTGTATGGTTTGTTTTCAATGGGGAGGCAGTGATATCGGAGGACTTTTGCCACCACTAATTGCATTTGGTTAGGGAGAGGGTCTCTGCAGGGATGGCGTAAAAATGAAAGAAGGTGACTACAACTGCACAACCAAATCATTAACAAAGGGTTGTATTTCTACTGAGTAATTGTACAACCACCTTGACATTTTTAACCCCCATTCTTTAGATCAGGGGTAGACAACCTTGGCTCTTTTATGACTCATGGACTTCAACTTCCAGAATTCTGGGAGTTGAAATCCACGAATCATAAAAGAGCCAAGGTTGCCTACCCCTGCCTTAGATCCTCCTAATTTAGCAATGCTCCCAAATGTGGCTGCCAAAAGCTGGTCTAGTCTGCAAAATTAATCTCTGATCAAAATTGTTTCAGTTATTTGAGGGTTGGCCCTGGCTAAATGCCAGTTTGTGATCTGAACTGTAATTCCTTCTCTGACACAAAGGCCCATACTTTCTATTTCCACTGATATGGCTCACAAGACGCCATTTTACAAGGAAGCTTCCTTAAGTATATCCAAGGAGAACTTTGATTCTTGGATATGCAAAACTCTTTGGGGGGGAGGAACCTAGCAATAGTTCTTGCAGCTGTTATGCATGAGACAACTTCTAGTTAACTACAGGCTTAACTGGGAGTGCCCTGTTATTTTATTTCATGTTTAGAGGCCATGACTTTGCAATCCTGGCAGGAGAAAATATAGCTACCCACAGATTGAAGTGAGGATGGGGGGAGCAGATATAGCATCCTCTCTACTTTTCTAATTGTTTTACTTTACTGTCGATTGGCATCTATTTATTTATTTATTTTATTATTAATAAAATTTATATGCCGCCCAATCCCTAGGGACTCAGGACGGAGTACAAAATTAAAACAACAAGTATAACAATTAAAAATGAATACATTCACACAGCATGTCCCAATCGAATCCCCCCCCCCCCACATCAACCCCAGGCCTGCCGGAACAGGAGAGTTTTAATAGCTTTCTTGAAGGCCAGCAAGGTGGGAGTAGTTCGAATCTCAGGGGGAGATTCTACATGTATCTGGCAGTTTTAAACAATTAAAAATAAGTTGTCTTTTCCTCCATATTTCTCGTAATTTTGATTTGCTTTTAAGATGTCATCAAGGCATTTGTTTTCCCTCCAGTGCTGACTCTTTTAAGTAAAGCGGATGTCAAACATAACTCTTCAGGTCCTACTGAAAACCCTCCAATGAAGTTTCACAGCTGTTTCAAATGTCAGCAAAATGAGAGAGGGAAGCGGTGGAGTTGGAGACCCCTTTGCTAGATTTTATCTGGGAGGAGACTGTCAGAGATCTGAACCCCTGGCACAGTTCATGCTGAGAAGCCAGGCATTTCAGCATGGCTCACAGCTACCAAGCAAGCTGTACACTTAGTTAGTTGCTAAATAGGAGCTGCCATTGTTTGTTGATTTTCATTCAATAGATTTCATCTATGACAAACTGAAATAGACACTCTGGTGATTAAGTTTATTATTATTGGGTAATTTGTATATTACCAATGGTAGTTGTAATGGCATTGCATCAAGGACTCTGAAGTCCTTAATTTTTTTATATATTTCTAGTATGTTTTCTGTCCTTCTTAAAGAAGTGTTGAATATCTGAAAAAAATTGGATCTGTGGATGGAAACACATTAACTGAGGCTAAAATAAACATAAAATTACAGTTTCACATATATTAGGATTCTCATTTTCTCTCTCTGGAGACAAAACTTCCAATAAGGAAAAGATACTAAGGGCTGAGAGTTCAGTCCAAGGGAACAGATAGAGCTTACATTTTTTTAAAAGTCAGCATTGGCATCAAGTGTGATCTTTTGAATGTTCTAGAAAAACAAACATAGAATTTCATAAAATAATTTCTATCCTTCTGGGCCCATTTCCCCAGCCAGTCTTATTGCTCTGCAGTGGCATTCCATGCCTGGGTTGACTGAACTTTTCTTAGTGTGTGTCTTGCTATAAAGTTTTTTTATTTATACCACTGTTTCTCAAATTTGGAGACATTAAGACATGTGGACTTCAACTCCCAGAATTCCTCAACCAGCATGTTGAGGCCCACACATCTTAAACTCACCAACGATGAAAAACATCGATTTATAGGACGGGCACCAAGGCCACACATTGTTGTGTTTATTTTATAATTTGTTTCATTTCTGCATTAGATGTTCTATATGTACAGAACATTTTTCTGAATGCATTTTATGCTCACTTTCCCTAGGAAAGGTATGTTTCTATGTACATTTTTTGAAGACTGTATTGCAAAATTTAAATAAAGGGCTATTCAGCACATTCCTTTCCGCTTCCAGAATAGACATCCAAAATGCAGATGGAATTGGGATTTTTTTTTAGATTTTGGTTTTGTTTTTGTTTTTTATGATTTGTAGTTTTATTATTGCTGTGAGCCACCTTTAGTTGTGTCTAAGATGAGCAGCTATACATTTTTAATTCATTTATTAGTATAAATAGTTTTAATTGTAATTTTAATTAGTAATGTTTTCTAATGCAGTGGTTCTCAACCTGTGGGTCGGGACCACATTTGGGGTCAAACGACCATTTCATGGGGGTCGCCAAACAACGCAGTCCGCCATTTTTTCCCCTTTTCCTTAGCTGTGCTACTCCCTTTTATTCTATTGGCTTTTGAAAGCCAATAGAATAGACT